GTGAGACTCGATCCCTGGTCAGCTCAATATAAATTCATGCTTGTAGGATTTGAGCCCATAACAATTACAGCACGTTTGGTTCACGGAATGAATTTTGAGGTAATAGGAATGCTATTCCATAAGGAATGGAATAGGCAAGAAATAGAATAGGAATTGTATTCTATTGTTTGGTTCGCGGAAGGAATAGACTTTAGGAATTATATTACAGTGTTTGGTTGATTTAAGGAATAGAAATGAAATATGTTTTAAAAGACATAAATACCCTTATAAAAATATGTGATGGTGGCGGCGGCGCTGGCGATGGTGGTGGTGGTGGTGGCGGCGCTGGCGATGGCGGTGATGGTGGTGGCGGTGGCGGTGGTGGTGGCGGTGGCGATGGTGGTGGCGGTGGTGGTGATGGTGGTGGTGGCGGTGGTGATGGTGCTGCTGGGGTGGTAGTGGTGGTGGTGGCGGTGGCAGTGGTGGGGGCGATAGTGGTGGTGGTGACGGTGACGGTTGTGGCAGTGGTGGTGGGGGCGGCGACGTTGTGGCGGTGGTGGTGGTGGTGGTGACGGTGGTGCTGCTGGGTGGTGATTCTGGTGGTGGCGACGACGGCGGCGACGGTGATGGTGGTGGTGGCGACGACGGTGGTGAAATAGGATAAATTTATATATAGGATAAAAAAAATTAGGTTAAAGAAAGGGGTAAAAAAGAAAATAGATTCTAAAATCTATTCCTGAGCGTTCAGTAATAGGCTAATACTAGGGGGGCCCTAGTAATAGCTATTACCTTATTTGAGGTAATAGGCTATTACCAGGAATATTATTCCTGGTAATAGAAATGGTTACTAAACAAAGGAATAGGCTTATTACTGAGATGCTATGACATTCTCGGCCTATTCCGTGAACCAAACGGGCCATTAGGGATACAATCTAAGCTAACTCATCCTTTTTTTTTTTTTTTTTTTTTTTGAAAGCAACTCATCCTTTGATTATATGTATGTAAATTTAATAACTATAAGTTAATTATGTATATACAAGGGACCTCTATATATATATATATATATGGGATGGAGGTAAGGGGAGTGGGGGCAACTGCCCCCACTGGTCGTATCTGTGACATAACTCTAATATCACTTATTAAGATTAAGTGTTCACCTTTATCTAAAAAAATATAGTTAGTAACGAAAGTGTAACTTTATTTTTTTATACCGTCTCATTTTCGAGAGGTAAGATGTTAGACTTGCTCTTTAAATCTTTACCCAAAATGTTAAACTACTTGACTATTCACCAACCTTCGCCAAACCTTAAATATAATGCATTTCAGTCATTGCAGTGGAAAGTAAAATTGGAGTAATGAAATCATTTTTCATCCCACATTTTCTTTCCACCTAACCACACTCTAAACAAAATGTCAACAACGTGGGGCTCAATAATTTATCTTAATTAATCACCATAGTAGGACTTTAAAATGAACCAAATTCATTTGGACACGTCACTAGGAAATAAAACTGCAATATTTTAGGGAATAAAGTACCATTAAATAAATGCTAATATTATATATAAAATTAGAGGTGACCGTAAATTCAGTTATTCAGTATTGTAAAAATTGATCTAGGCGGTCGACTATGTGATAGGCGCTCTAGAACGAGACAATTTCAGCTATACGTGACTTTTAGTTGGTTGGCCGACTAGGCGTCCTAAGTGTCGAGTTGGGCATCTAACTCCACCTAGTTGGCACCTAATTGGACTGAGTGGTACTTTTTGCTTGCTCGATTGCTCCTTTTCTATATTCCTCCAGCCATGTACTCAACTAACCATCTAACATATGTAATTGACTAGTTTGTGAGATTATAATAGTCTAACAACTAACAGCCCTGTGTGGAAAAAGTGGAGCTGATATACTCAAATTACTCGACCGCTCTAGACGCTAAGCGTCCCCGGGCGCCCGACTAGCACTTAGCGCCTTCTACAACATTAACGATAATTTAAGTTTGGTTCAAGCTAGATTTTTCTTAAGGACTAACGGATGACATGAGTGAGACCACCAGTTCCAAAGCTCTGGAGTCTGACTCAGACAATTGTAAAACTGGTCTGGAATCCAGGGAGGATCGAAGCCGAGCCGAAAGAGTTGGTCAAGTATATATATATATAATTCGTCACAATGGTCACATCTATCTGGAATATGTCATATCGTTGTTAAGTATATAGTGTGAATGTTTGGATACAACAAATTATTGGGTAGGATTTGGTGGCGTTTGTCAAATGGGTATCTTAGTGGCATAAGATAACAAACAAAGAAATAGTAAAGCAGGCCTTGGCAGCTCTTTATCCCTCCCTTTTTCTTTGTAAAGTGGCTGCCTTTTGTTCTACTTTACCCTTTTCCCATCCCATCCCATACTATATTTCCCAAACCGAATATGTAAGAAACTTGCTTCTCACTCATACTTTCATTTTCTTTTCTTCTTTTCCTTGCTTTTTAATATCATTCTAATCATAATTACATAGTTTAATACCTTAATATTATATATAATAATAAATGTGTAAATGCCGTTGTTGCGATGTCACCTAATCTGGAGCGACGTGTTAAAATCGTGCTGAACTGTAGGCACTTCTTTTGGATGGGACAGTTGGCTTGGAGATTTAAGGTTGTTCCATTTCCAAAGAAAGATCGAATTCTTGGCCGTTGGTTAAGGATGGATGAGTCTCTTCCATTCAACCACACCCTCTAGGTTACTAATATGAAATTATGTTTGATAATGCCACCCAACTATAAGCTAAGGTAGAAAACATAGAACATCTATTCTTATTCTCTGACCAATTCTAGTAATTTATTTTACTATGAAGTATTTGGAAACCCTAAAACTATTCAATAGATTTCTGGACTTTTTCCATGTGGGAGAAGGGGGGAAATAATTGTCAAGTGTCCTGGTTTCGTAGTTCTTACCTTACCAAAAGTGAGATTTACAACTGTATAAGGTATAGACTCAAAGTACATTTCATGCAATCATAAATGATTCTAGTACAATTTTTCTTCAATTGGAATATGAATAACTTTTATACAAAAAATATTATTTTTATAAAATATTATATCTATTAAATAACTTAACTTACCACACATATATTATTATGAATATAAATATTTTTTAAAACTATGAAAATTTATATGACTAGTCTGATCATAACGCACTACTGGAAATTATGTAATTTCCGACCACCTGAAAGTGATCTTAAATCAAGTCGAAAGCCTTGTTCCGACCACTTTTGATATCCGGAAAAACCTTTCTTGCTATTTCCGACCACTTTTTGATATCAATTTGATTCAAGATCACTTTCAGGTGGTCGTAAATTTCATAATTTCCAGTAGTGACGTATCATGAAAAACATGTATTTATAGGCTTATTATGATAACTAAATATAAGAATATTATAAGGAAAAAAAAAAAACCTAAACTAAATTCTATCTCATAAAAATCTATAACTGTGTGTGCTTTCAAAAAAAAAAAAAAATTAATTGTAATTTCTAATACACCCCTCAAGCTAGAGCATATGGTTGCGAAAAACTTGCAGATCCACATAATATGTAGCTAACACATCCTCAATCAGGATCTACTGGTCAGCAATCTTATAATTGAACTCCTCGGGAAAACAATACAGCATACCAAAACAACAAAAACCCATGAGAAACTCACTGTCATTGGGAGGTGATATGCCAACGGACAACACCAAAATGCCAGAACAAAGACCCTTGGAAAATACTGAGATTAGACACCTGAAAGTTCTTGATTTAAGGCTATTGCTCTGATACCATATTAAAATTTAAATAAGGTCCGACAGGTGGCTAATGATACCACCCGCCGGAAAGGCAAGAATAGTAGTAGAAGGAAAATTAATATAAAACTAAGAAAATTTATATTACTAGTCTAATATGAGTATAAATATTAGTTTTGCCCCAAAAGTGATAGTGAATAGGTAGAGCATAATTCTCATATCGGAATGACATAATTCTTGTCAACACTTATTCATCGAACTCATTGTACTTTTAATTTTTTTTCATTAATGATCTTATTATTTTACAAAAATAACACTCTTTGTGTTTCTCGACATCATTATAACATAAATTTTCTTCATGCATTTTCCATTAAAACCATTTAAGGTAATTGAGAACACATGAAAAATTTTAAGATGTTGATCAATACTAGCATCTTTTGTATTCAACAGCACTCTGAAGTTAATACGGAATAGTAAATACTTCGACTTTGTACCAAGTATTGTAGGATTTTGTCTCCTAGTACTCCGTACAAACTTAAAACCTCTCCCAAAGCTTTTAGCTTGTACTCACACACACACATAGGTTGGTTGGGTGAGTTCAAATGAGAACAACCTCATTCCATAAAAAGTGGTGACTAATCTCAATCACTCATCAAAATTCATCGATAATGAAAGATTTTAGTAAATAAAAAAAAAAAACACATAATGAATCTTATAATTATTACAAACTCTCAAATTACAATATTTATAAATCTCATTCCGTCATTTTCGCCCTTAATTTTTAACAACCTTCAACTATTGATTTATTCAAATAGATAGAACATATCAATCCTTACCTTTTACCTAGCTTGTTCTCAATAAACCCTTCACCTATTGAGAGAGGTGCATTGAACTCATTCCAAACGCAACATATATATGGTCAAATATTTGAATCACAATTCTCCAATTGTCAGGAAAATGACAATTTCAACCTAAGAAAGTAAAAAATTGGAAAGATAATAATATATGGAGAGATAGGACCACCAAAAATTACTAGTAAAAAGAAAGCATATCTAAATGCATAAGCATTGAAAGGAACAAGAAACCACCTATATTTATAATGTAATGTAACTAACTTGAAAATGATGTAAAACCACAACATCTAACAAATGAAATCATCAATGATAGGCTGGCTACTATGATAGTTCATGTGTAGTTGAGTACTAGGAAGCAATCAAAAGCATATAAGTTCCCCTTCCAACATGGTACAACATTATGGGCAAATTGAAGTTGAATCAAGAGAGAAATGACAAGAATCCATAGCTGAGAGTTGAGACCTGCTTTTTTGTTACAAACCTGTTTACAGGGGTATGTCCCTCGGGATCTAAAGTCAGACATCAAAAGCTAAGAGCAAGACAACCAAAAGCGGAATAAGAAAGAAGAAGAAGAAGAAGAAGAAAACTTACAACCCGACACAAAAAACACCCATATATAATTAAGACTGTCTTTTTACTTAAATACATCACACGCATGGCCTAATTAGTCACGAGACTTTCGATTAGCGGGGGGAGAAGATTTCAGCGTAGCGTTTCTATGCTCTTGCTCAGCTCCTCCAACTTCTTCAGAAGATTTCAGCGTAGCGTTTCTATGCTCTTGCTCAGCTCCTCCAACTTCTTCATCCTCAACTTCTCGCTTTCACTCACCAGCTGCATTATTGGACAGTGTGGTAACTGGTAAGTACGTTGTATGATTGAAAGTATCGGAGGTAAAGACGAGTAGTGAAGTGAAAAGCAATGAAAACCTACGTTACTGACCTCCGTCAACCTTGTGATTAGCTGTACTTTTTCCTTGTGCTTCTCATTGAAGGCCTCGAGAGCTTCTTTGTACTCTCTCTCCTGTTATCGAGAACACAGAATTATAGTCCAATATGGTTCTTGAAATGGTTGAATAAGCAAACTATTCTCCGCTTTAAGCTCTTTACGATGAGTAAAACCATAACTTAAGAGAAACAAGGCCACCGTGACAAAAGGATAACAAGGGGGCATCATGATTTCAGAGAACATGAGTGGTCCATTAATACAGCCAAACCATCCATTTCTATCCTCCATTATTGAATTTATCTTTGTCTGTAAGATTCATTTACATAGGTTATACTAATTAGGTTATTTCACTCCCCGCCCCACGCAATTTAACCCTTCCTCCTTTGTGTGGGGTGGGGTGGGGGGTTAAGCCGTTAAAAGGGTATGTAGATTTACCAAATACCAAATGGAGATGAAATGGAAGATATGTGAACAGAAATTCAAGAAAATACTGTTGAGATGTTTCACCTTCTTCTGGCAAGTCTGTCCCAATGGTTTTAACTCCTTGTTAACCGTATCAATCTTCTTGCGAACGAGAGAAACTTCCTTCTTCATTGGATCTGCTAGCGCTTCTAGTTCCTAAAACAACATTAAAAGTGCCCATAATTGAGTTCAAAGGAAATACAATGATGGATGAGGTGGAGATAGCAGAGAAGGGACAAAATTTTGACACCAGTGACCGTTGCATTTTGAAAATTTCAAGAACATTTCCGGATCTTTACAATACCCACCACTCAAATTTTCTTGGAATTATACAACTTATCTCTATTCTAGAAAAGGAACAGGCAAACCCAGATTCCTCCATCAAATTAAGAAGCAGTATATTCTGGTACTGGTTCAAAGTATGAAACCTCAAATTAAGGTAGCTAATTTGTGGGCTGAGGATAGATGATTTGGAAAATAAGACTTAAATCCAACATCCTTTTGAGAATTTGTGAGTGGGTTTTGCCCCTCCCCCCCACCCCACCACAAGGGGTGGGTGGGGGGTATACAAAGACATATACTTTTTCAAATTAACCTATTTTACTGTTCATGAGCTTGAGCAGAAATTCAAGATCTAGACGATATACGGACGCAATTTCACGGCAAACAAAATTAATTTCACTCTTTAGGTAACCTATTTCATGACAGTGGAAAAAAGTTTCATCTTTTACCACCAAAATTTGGTAAAAAAAAAAAAAAAAAAAAGTTGGAGCATCTGAATTTCCTTTAAGTACACAAGAAGTTCAAGGAGACTGTGGAGATAAATTTAGATTCCTGGATAAGGGAAATAAAATATTTAAAAAAAAAAAAAGGACAATAATACTGTTAAATAAAGACAAATTCATTTGCTGAGGGGAAAAAATAAAAAATTTTGACAAGAAAATAGAGGAAAATAAGAATCTAGAGAAACCATGAAAATACCTCGCGAATGGTAGCCAAACGCCTGGTTTCTTCTTCAATACGGCCAAGCTGAGCCTGGACTTTCTCCCTGACCTCGAGCTTCTTCTTCTCAATCTCCTCTTCTTTAGCCTTGAAGGTGGAGAGAGCAGACCTAGACATCTCCTCGTCTTCCTTAGTCATGGTGCCATTGAAGCTCAAGCTCCCAGAAATTTGGCCAGACTGCATCAGTGTCTGAAGCTGAGTCTGTGACTCTCCTCCTTGTCTCTGGTTCTGCATCGTCTCTCCTCCTCCTCCTGCTTCTTCTTCTTGTTCTACCACTTCCGCCGTAGCTGCTACTTCTTCTTCTTCTTCTTCTTGTTTGCACTGAAAACACCGAAGAAAAAGCGAAACCCTTCTTTTCCCCTCAATTTTTTCTGGTTTTTAATTATTTTTTGCGGCTTCTTTGGTTTGGGTTGCTAGCTTTTATGTTTTGTTTCTCTCTCTCTATCTCTATCACTATCTCTATCTCTCCCCCGAGTATTTCTCTCTCTAAATGAATCTCTATGCTTTTGCTTTTGCTTTGGGTTTGGTGGTGTGGGGAGAGGGGCTCTCTCGGTTTTGTACTGTTTGCAGGTGCTTATGAACAAGCCTGCCTGGCTGCGACTCCCTTCACGCCTGTTCCCTTTTCTTATAATCCACACTAACTATTTCCCATTTTCTTATTCAAAATCAATAACTGCAAATATTAAAATGTCTTAAATAGTTTTTACTTTTAATTTTTTACTAATCTTTATGTGGTAAAAATATAATTAGTTTCGGTGTATAATTCTAATTGACCAGAATTATTTTTCTCCATTTGTCAAACACTGGAAACTTGAAAAATGATTTTTAGAAAATATTTTCTGGGTTTCTAAACACACCCTAATAGCCCGTTTGGTTCGCTGGAAAATATTTGATGGAAAATGGAATTCAAATTCCATGGAAAACAAATTACTAGGAAAATAGATTCCATTGTTTGATTGGTGAAAAAGAAATTACTGAAAATATGAATTCTATTGTTTGGTTGGGTTTGGAATGTTAAGAACTTATGAATATAAAGACCAATTTGTCCTTAACAATAATATATACATGTGTAATTAATAAATTTTGATGAAGGTAAAATAGTCTAATATTATTATACTTTCTTCCCAAATCCTTTGGAAAACAAAATACCAATAGAATTATTAAAATTTCCAAATTTAAGTCAATATCAATAGAATTATTAGTAATTACTAATAACCAAACGTCTCCCACAGGGCACTCTCGTATTGACCTTGTGGATTGAATGAGCCAACAACATCAAAACTTGGAAAAGGTGACCATCAACAACACAATAAATATATGTACACTCTTATGCCAAATCCATGGTTTGTCTCAGCACTTGTGTCTATCTTTTTAGTTGTTTATTTTCCCTCATGAACTAACTTAATTATTCAACAAGATAATAAAGTTGTGGCTTTGAATTTCAACTTTGAAGCCAAGATCATTGAGTGTCAGAGAGTAAGAAATTATTCAAAAATTTAGGTAAAAGTTTGGTATAAAAAATGGATAGGAAGAGAAATGAGGAGTAATCCCTTTCATCATATTGTCAGAAGGAAACGACATGGATTAGAGTAATGCATTTGTTTTGAAAAATTAATGTGTGGATCATTTATTAAATATAAAACAAATTGATCAGTTAGCGTTGATTGTTTTGCAATTTTTTTGAATAGTATTATGTAAATGTTATAATTGAATATCATGAGGTATGAATTTTTTAGAGCCGATTAACGTTAGAAAATTATAATGGAATTCACTTAGGGATTATATGCATCTATTTCTTTAATATAAGAAAACTAATTAGATTGTAAGGTGTAAAATGCTTTATTCATTTTAAAAAGTAAGGGTTACATTTATCAGAATCTTCAAAAAAAAAAAAAAGGTGGGGGGGTGGGGGGTGGAGGAATTAAACAAATTGAGATACACAAAACAAATGAGCAATAAGTTACCATATCTTTCTTGAAATGCAAGTGCACATTGTAAGAATTCCAGCCTTTGATGAGTTGCCAAAAATTCTCTAAGCACTTGGTTGATTCCGCATACAGTCAATTTAATCAATTAAGCATCACTTTCTGGTTCACCAATTTTTACCATTTCTACAGTGAAAATCAATGCATCAAGAACACAAAAATGTCAATGAATCATCTTACTTTTGGGTCTGCATATTTAATTCTTCCCCAGAAGTAAAATGGAGAATTTGATGAAGCGAATTAAACTTTATTGATCCAAAAGACCCCACACTACCTGAAATATTCAAAACAAATCCACATATAAGAGATAAATAACTGCATAATTAATACATAGAAAATTTTCATGATTTTATGATTCCATGAAGCTTTTGCTACATAAACATGGCTCTAATGCACATACAGATTGTCACGGAGCAACAAAGCCAACATTATGTAGAACATGAATACTTACTCCACTGAAATCGATGCCACTGTCAAACTCATTCAAGCTTGAAATTGATTATTTTATGCTAAAGTCACCAACTACATCTAATTGGCTAGCATCTGTTGTAACTTCATCAACCTTGTGGAGTATTGAAGCAAACGTAAGAGACGAGAGAGTGACAGCAATTGGTTGAGCCTCACCAGGCAGGATCTTTGATTCTTAAGACATTTAATTGGCTCGTATTGCTTGCCTCTTCAACCAATTCCATCACAATAAGAGGTGGCTACTGCTTAATAACAATAATGTTTCTAGTTCAATCTCTCTGTTCTGTCAAATGCAAAAAGTTTAGTACAATTGTAGCTTCATAGAAACCAGATTTCAGAATTGATTCCTCTTGAGTTAAAAAATTTATCGAGCCTTTGGGTGTTTTTTTGGTAGGGCGAACTAGATTGAAGGTAGTGTGCATCATTGGCTCCCTTTAGCTTAGTCCTCTCCCGGATATAAGTGAAACAGATACGCCAATGATATGATTTTACCCTCTCTTTATTACTTCTTTTGGTATATTTGTAGCATTCAATTTGTGCAAGTAATGCATACTCATTATTCTAACGCTATTCATGTTTGCAACTCATTCAACAGAACCATCACATTTAAATCTAATATAATTATGAAACTGAAATAACAATCACCCCAAAATAACAATAATATCGTTGACCTATCTTAGATTCAAATCGGTTCTTTTTTCAAATTAGCACCAGTAACACAATTGCACATAAGACACTACTAACAAAAAGAAGCGGATAAGCAATGAATACGAACACAATGACAAACCTATCCAAAAGTAAATTAACAAAACTTAGAGTAATTCCGACCAAAAGTAGTATTTACTACCCAAGGTTGAAAAAGACGCTAGACGCCCGATTTATTTATTTTTTATTATATAATATATATTATATATCATAGTCATAGATTCATAGTAGTGGACTAGTGGGTGAAGACTGAACACTCAGAATAGAGATCGAGGGTGGAGAATACGGAGAACAGAGATCGAGGGGTGAAAGGTACTACGTGGATGGGAACTGTCGGAGAACAGATCAGAGGTTCAAGACTGCTGAGGTTCTCGGAGGTGGTGGCTGGAGTGCTGAGAGGCAGCCAGGAAGGTGGGGATACTACCTAATTCCATACCAATTACAATAAATATTTAAATAATTATTTTTAGAAAAGTGCAAACATTAATTTTAATTTAATGTCAATTATAATAAACTTCTCGTATATATTACATTGATATATTTTGAATTATTTATTTAAATATAAATATTAGGAATTAAATTAGTCACACAATATACATGTAAAAACTAGTTAAATATATGATAAATTGATCAGTCAACGGTGATTGTTTTAAAAGTTTCTCGAATAGTATTATGTACATGCTACCATTGAATACCACACATGCTAGTACGCTACAATTGAATATCATGATAGTCCTTACAAAAATAATAAATTATATTAAATACATATGCGGAAAAAAAGAAAAAAAAAAACTATATCAAAGATATTTTTAGGAAATTAAAAATGCGGTCAGACAAAACTTTTCTTATTTATTTTGGGACAATAAACACACGTACTTAATTAATGAGTGGCTCATAATTAAATACTCCGTATCAAACAGGATATCTCATTTTTTTGGATGTAAATGTTATTACACTTAAAATGCAAAAATCAAAAGTAAACAAATTATGTAAACAATTCATACCATGAAGTGAAGCACCGACACGTTTTTGGCTTTTTTCTAGTCTTCTTAGGTAATTGCAATTTTTTGTAATAGACTTTATCTCCTTTTTTTTTTTTGGTAAACTAATAATTTTATATTAAAAAAACACCAATTTAATTTTATATCAAACCTTTATATATATTACAACTAATTATGCTGACTTCCAAAGGGGATTTTATATTAAAAAAAAAAAAAAATTAAATAAACAACATTGTTTCCGATTTCTGAGACATCAAGAATTTTAATTTATTGTCCTTTGAGAATAAAACAATGAATTTATTGAGAAAGAAAGTGGAGATTTGTAGACTACAAAGCTATTAAACTTGAGTTTTGGTATAGAAAAAACTTGGTCATTTAAACTTTAGAAAAAGAGCCATTGACATTGTCAATGGCCCTGTTTGGCTGTTTCCATTAATTGAAACGCAATATTATTGTCTTTTGTTGTTAAATCTTACGAATTTTATTAGTCATTTCTTATAATGCCGCCACCACATTATTATATGAAGATTTTAAAATTTAGAAATAAATCAGACACAGAGGTTTAGGGGAATGTTCAAATGCAATGATTAAATGAATGTGTTTTAAATTTTGTCTATATATGTTAGTTAACTATATAACAATAAATGTTTTTATTTAAATAAAATTATTATTTTGGGTAATGAACAAAATAATTTCTATTGGACATCTTTTTTTTTTTTTTTTTAAAGCAAAGTTGCGTATTTTCATTACTATAAATGTGGAATAATAACATCAGGGGGGACATCGTCCCAAAACATAACAATATCTTGGTCAGTGACCATTGTAGCTAATGTATGAGCAATAATATTTAAACGTCTAGGAATAAAATTAAAATGACATGAAATAAACTGTGCCATAACGACTTGACACTCATGAACCACGATTCCAACATATGATCTGGGTTGTGAACCAGTTCTAGATAGATAGGATTGCATTCTATTGGACATCTTAATGTAATTGAATATTTTAAAAATAGTTGGTCGTTTTAGGCATGCATTAATTAGATTAATATGTTCTTGAGTATTTGTTATTTTATCTTTTTTTTTTTTTACAAGTTTACGAGTTAGTTGCATCATGTGGATTCTCATTTATAATGTTCAGTATGTGTTTCTATTACAAAGAAATGTAATTGCAAGGCTGGAGTCGTATACCTAAAAAATCATGCATATACTACCCTCAATACCATTTTATGTATTTTTTATAATAATATTAAGTTTAACATTAGTATATAAAAATTTTATATTTAGAAATTGTTAAAATTTTTAGCATAAAATGGCATTTAAGTGGCTATGTTGTGATACAAATATATGTGAGATTCACTTTCAATTTAGGTCGGATCAAAATCTATTCAGATTTTTCGCAGTGAGACGAAGAGATT